GAGATGAAAGTTTCCGGGAATTAAGTCCAGTTTCATTTCAATACAGGATAGGTGAAAACGGAGATCCCAAAGCCTTCCTCATAGAGATTTCCTGGACAGCAACCTATCCGCAGACACCTCCCATCATATCCATGAATGCCTTTTTTAACAACACCATATCATCAGACGTAAAACAGAGCATACTAGCCAAGTTACAGGAGGCGGTGGAAGTCCACCTCCGGACGGCCATGACCTATACGCTGTTTGAGTACGCCAAGGACCATAAGGACCAGTTCATGGAGAACCATCATCCCGTTCATTCTGCTACATCCATAAGCAACATCATCTCAGTTGAAACTCCTAGCACAGCCCCGTCAAGTAAGAAAAAAGATAAAAAGGAACAACTTTCAAAAGCCCAGAAACGTAAACTGGCAGATAAAACAGATCACAAGGGAGAAATTCCTCGAGGATGGAACTGGGTTGATGTGGTGAAGCATTTGAGCAAAACTGGCTCTAAAGACGATGAATAGCCCTTGGAATCTGAGACGAGGGAAGAGCATCCTTTAATAAGTAGACGGGGTTCAAAATCTTTCATTACTCTTTTCTGGTATTGAGGTGGCTTTTTATAAAACAATTGTTTTGTATGTTTCTTATGTTAAAAAAAAAGTTTCAAGTTGAAAAAGGAATCTGGTTGTATTAAATTATTTTCACAAACTTGCCTTAATAAAAGGTGAAAATGTTACTGTTTAGTATAATACTTTATGGAACCAGTTATAAACGGAGAAATGTGAGGAATTATAAATAATCAATGTCAATTTATGTGATCTTATTCCGGTGGATATGATATTTTTTAAAGGAGTTTTAAGCTCTTTTCAAATTCTTATCCCATTGGAGAATATGAATGAACAATGTGTTCACAGTATGATCCGTATTAATAGGCTTCTTGTCTTTAAGTCTTTGTTCCTTCTTTCTTTTAATTACTGAAGCATAAATTGCTTCAGAGAGATTTAAATACTAGTATTTGAACTTTATATGTAATATTCTTTCTAGGTCCTTTTTATTTTTCAAGGGTGAACTGCTTTTTAAGAAATATATATCTGTTAATACTTTTGATTTGGGTAATGATGTTTGATCCTGAGAGCTTTCAATGATATGTGGAATCAGAGAAAGGAAAAAAAAAAAAAAGATCTGCCAAATACTTTAGAAAATATTTGAATAAAAGTGCTTGTTCCCATTTAAACCATTTCTCTTTGCTGCATATACCTAGATGGGAGTAAAAGATGCCTTAATATTTAATTTTTATATTGTTAAAGACAGTGGTTTTAATAAATTCCTATTTATCCATTGTGTATTTTTAGTTGTTTGGTAACTGAGTTCTAAGTGGTTTCACATAAAACTACATTTTAAGCCTTGTGCATTTTCCAGTACCCAAATGTATGTGTCAACCCAGGCATCCGTGTACAAATAGACATAGAAGTCTTTCAAATGCTGAACTGTAGTACTTGCTAGATTTTTTTTTAAGTCATTAATAGAGGAAACTATTAGTGCAGTTTTAGCAGGAAGTTACTGACATGTATGTGAGATAGTATATGCTCCCCAGCTTCAAAAATACTTCGACTACTGCCGTGGTTTCTGGAAAGGTCAGCTGTTGGTCCCTCAAGTTATACCTGTGCACCTTGGGTCTGAGTTTCTAAAGAACAGTAAACTTTTAAAGACGTTTCCTTAGCAAGAGAGCAGATTGTTGTAGCCGTGGTTTTTGCTAGATTCACATAGGTGTCAGTTCAATCGATTGAAATCTAACGTAAGCATAACTACAGTGAAGAAGCTCAGTCTCATTTTTAGATGCTGAATCACATTTTTATTGCTTGGATTAATACGATGGAGACATCAAAATTCAGGACCACTGGAATACGCTAACTTTTGTTTTCGTGTTGTGTGCGTAATTTCTGTTGTGCCAATTTGCTTGTTTTTTGAAGAAACAAATTGCTACGTCTGCTAGTAGGAAAAAAATGCTTTGTTTTATGCAGAAGGTTCTGAAATTATTCAGGTGTGTCGTGGTTCATAGATTACAAAGAATGATGCTAGTTAAATGCCAATGAACTATTTTTACTCTTTTTATATGAAATGTACAAATTCCGGGGGACGATGGTGGCAGCGGTGCGTCTTCCTACCTTACGTAAAACACTCGAACATCCTCATCAAGGTTGCCATCATCTGGTTAATACTCCCAGTATATTTTGTCAAAGTCTGTTGTATGGAATGATGTAACAAGCAATAAAACCTGAATCACACCCAGTGACATTTCTGTATGTCTTGTTTTGAGTCACTTGAGAGAGAACTGTTGATTTTATAACTGCTCTGACTTACAGTGCAAAATGTACCATCCAGCCAGAAATGGTGCAAAATGTTGGACCCCACCCCCCCCCC